CCCACGCCAGCTGACACAGTCGGGATGTGGGTGAGGGCACATTACACTTTCACTTATGTTTAGTGATGTGCTTACTCTGCACCTGGGCCTCACACAAAGTGACTTACACACACTTAATTCTCTAGCATTCTCCCACAAAATCCCTCTTTCCCTTTCCATGCAGAGAAGCTCCTGTACAATTCACTATGACAAGACTTACAGAGTAGACCAGCTTAAAACACCCCAAAAGGCTATTGGATATGCCCTCAAGAGGCTAGTAATGCCAACAGAGAAGGACACAGCAATTTTGACAGGATTTTAGAGTCACTGCCCAGATATGAGCTAGGTTCCCTTACATGAAAGTTTAGATTTGGGTGACAAGCACTGTGGTGAATTCAGGAAAGACTCAAAAATCCAGACTCAGGGAGATAATAAAACATTTCCCTGATTTCAAATACATTGATCTTGCATTGTAAATAGGACAGCTAATGTTAGAAGTTACCTGATACCTTGCTAATTGGGGATGCAGGACTAAATCATGGGATGAATACAAGAAGACCCATTCCAACCAGATCAGAAACCATGTGGTTTTGGCTCTTTGCTGACCCTGGTGAGCCTCCTGTCCTTCTGTCCAGCAGAAAGAGGCTCAAACCCCTTCCCTGCCAAGCACCTGTGCTGTCTCAGGTAAGTTACACACCCCCTCTGAGTCACCATAGCCACAGAAGAGCACATGACACATGATGAAAGCCTGCCTGTGCACTCCTCATTTTGGTTATAAATGCTTTGGGTTTGTTTTAAAAAGTTCCCCACTATGATATCTGTCACACCTACAAACATGCTTCAAATATGTTCAATACACATGTCTTCAAACCAACTGTAAGCAGAAAATTTGGAACTGTACCTAACATATGATTACTATGACATTGCTGTCAGAAGGGAGGAGAGGAAGATGTGACTGAGCAGCCTGGGTGGGAAAAACTGTTCCTTTTTGACATATTTGGAGAAATACATGTACGTATGTATATGTATTTCAGTGTACTATCTCAGAGGAGTGAGTTTGTCCCACACAGTTGGTATTGCCTTTGGGAACCTCCACATGACCAAATTCCCAACCTTCTTCCTCTCTTCAATGCCACAGAGAAAGACCTTTACATATTGTTTTTCCTTAAATCCATTCTTAAATCCTTTTTCTTCCTCTCTTTTTCCTATTCCCCACTCTCATTTCCCCTGTAAGGATGCCTGGGGCCTGACCTAACACCACACTGAAAATCAGCTCATGTTTGCAGCATCTCTCTTCTATTTTTGGCCAAGAGAAGGCTGACATAGGTTGGGCACGATGGCAGCACGCTTCATTTTCAGTTTTCAGAGCAAAATGCTGGGAATAGGGCACTTTACCCTGTTACCTCATGGCTGTCAGGTGGCACTGGGAGAGCAGGGCATGACCTCAGCTCTTTGTTTTGGAGGAATGCAGGAGCAGCACCCTGGATCGGGGCCCTACCCTCCTCCCTTCAGTGATCACCAACAAATGAGAGGGGGAACAGAAAAACAGAACAGACACTGTTTTGTGCACTCTATTCTAGTTTCCAGGAACTTGCAGTTCAGCGATTTCCCCCCATCAAACAGGCTATTTTTGGCTACATATATTAGAAGTCAGCACAAAGGACAATGCACCCTGCTTACTACTTTCCCAGCTGTGAATTCTGGCTGCCACCTAACCCCAAGGTAAGCTGGTAGCCATCCCCCAACTCCTCCACCCTGGTCCTCCAGCCATCCCAGAGGCTCCCCAGTCTGTGCCATGCAGCCACTCTCTCCCTCTCCCCATGACCTTGAAAACACAGCTCTTGGGCTCAGCTTCTATTATGTCAAGACCTTCTATTATATCAGGACGAGAATAGAAATGAAAAATCATTTATAGATCAACCAAATGACATCTAAAAGCATCATGTGCCCAGTCCTCATCTTAAAACACAAATCCTCTGTTTCTTCATTTCTCCTTCCTGTCTATTCCAAGCCTGATGCACCAACAACAGGAAACATCAGTGTGCTTTGGTGCTAGGTCTCATGTCAGGCACAGATCATAAAACTCACTCTAAGTGAATTTAATCTATAAACCATTGGGTGAAACTCCTACCCAACATATAGCACAAGAATGTAACAGGTAAAACTAAGGGAACTACTATGCAACTGTAAAAATATAAAGGATATGGGGTTACGACAAACAAGATAAACTGAGACTAAATCAGATTAAATAGTTCAAGTAAACTTTCCCTCTTTATTAGGAACTTTTCATTCTTTGAGCTTTTTGGCTATTAAAATTGTTTTTCTGATCACATCAGGAAATAAGACAGTAGAGCTTTCTTCATATTGTAAGCATTTCAATTAATATACATATATTAGGGGAAAAAAACACCTTTGAAAACAAGTTCTTTCTCTAACACACAGATGTAGTCCTTCACTGCTCCCAACATAGTACGAGTCTTCCAAACAGTCTAAACATACATGGAGTAATCTGGACTTAACAAGTAAGTGCTTTCTAAATCAAATACACATCTATGACTGAAGTTTTTTGCTGTTACTTAAACAGTCATGAGAGGAAGAATGTTTTAACCCACACCTTGCAACCAGACCAAAGCAAAATTCCAATGGCCTCAACCCTTCCAGGAGGCAACTTCAAACCTTTGTTTTTGTCACATGTACATGGAATTGTCACCAGTAGTACATAAAAAATTGTACAGACACTTGTGGTAAGCCAAGTTTCTATTTTTAAATGCTTACCTCTAACAGGTAAAACAATGAAAAATGGTGATTTAAATCTCGTAAAGCAGAGTCACAACAGTGCTGCACTGCAGATGAAATTAGAAGCAACTGAAAACTTGAAAAAAGGGAAACTTCTGCTTTTTATCCTCTCTTCTCATCAACAATTCAACTAATATCTTCTAGAAGGAAGAAATCAGCCTAAGAAGATATACAGGAGAAACAAGATTCTCAGAATATTACAGTGCAACACTCTTAATATGTAAAATGGAGTTTACTTATTTTATAAATAAATTGCTCTGAAATCTTCTAATAAACACCATGAAAGTACAGTTTATTTCACTGGGATTTGAGGGATCTGGATTTTGAATAAAGACATTAAAAAGGAAAACAAAACCTGTACTGAAAGGTTAATAATAAAAATGCTCAGAACAAGAATGAAAATATCAAAAATACATTTTTTTCCGTTCAAATTAAGAAAATGGAAAGAAAAGGAAGACAAGATTTTGAAATATTTTGTGAAATAAGTTCTTATGTTTAAAGAAAGGTACTTAACAGACAACTGAGATATTCCTTTCCAGTCCTGTTTCACATTAAGTAACTTAAAAAATAACCAACCTATTAACCCAAGTCCCTATTCAAATCCATTTAAAAGTTTAAATAAACTGATTTAAAATATTTTATTGCTTCTATGGTTGCATATACAGTACATACACAACTGGTGCGATGGTAACAAGATGAGAATAGAAATGAAAAATCATTTATAGATCAACGGAATGACATCTAAAAGCATCGTGTCCCCAAACATGAGTAAATCCTCAGTTTCTTGATTTCTTCTCCCTGCCTATTTCAGAGCCCAAAGAAATGAAATATTGGTCCTCATTCCAAATCAACTGCCAATTTCCCTCAGGTTCATTACCTAAAAGTTAATCTGTTATTAAAAAATTAATCTAATTAAAGGGTGAGGTTCTACTAGAAGGCAACTAGACATCTTTGCTAATAGCAGTCCTGTTCTCTTTCCCTCCATTGTCAAAACATTCAAAAGAATATTTTCTTCTCTATCTGTGCTTGGTAGCTAACAGTGATATAAAGCTGCTGTTGAAGAGCAGTGGCACCACAACATTCAGAGGAGAAACATGCTGCCGCAACATTTTCACACACAATATGGCTTTATGAGGGAAACCTAATGGTTAGTCCACAAATTAGGTAGTTTCCTTCAAAGTACAAGTCTGAAGTCTTATTTTCATTAACATTACTAGGATAGATTTGTTATTCAGGATGAAAGTCTTACACTATACCTATTTTAAAAATCACACCTGGGAAAGATGAAAGGTCATTTTCCATCGTGGTGGTTTACTTTCCCAGACCTGAACCGGCGTGGTCTCTTCTTAGCAGAGGATAAATTTCCATTACCATATAAAAGGAATAAATAGTTACCTAAAGGCAGTGTATGGACAGATGCTATGTGAGGCAGTTGTCAGTAGGAACCAGCAAATTGGACCTCCTTAATTCTGATTTGAAAAGCTAAGAATAAACATTATTTCAGTGTATATGACTCGTCCAGTCATTTTTAAACATTTTTAAATTGCTAAGTTTATAGATGGATGCCTTTTACATGCTGAAAGCATTTACATTTGTTTTTAAAATAATTCTCAGTTGTCCTTTAAAATGAACAAAATAAAAAGCACTGTTGCTGTAGCTGGTAGCACTAGCTTTCTTGGGGCTCCAGCAATGAGAGCACAATCTTTCTTAATAGAGCAGCAAACCTGACAAAGAGCAAAACATTTCTAACATGAAGACACTTCAATTATTTCACTCTGTGCAATTTACCAATTTGCCTTATTAATCTTCTCTGTTTGCTTACGAAGACCCACCTTTGTTTTGACCCATTTCTCAGTAACACCACTGGTGAAGACTGGCTTTGGCCTGAATGGGACCAGAAGAAGACAACATGGAACACCTCTCTGCTGTTTAATTTGGGAGCTGAATTTAATCAAAATTCTGTTTAAAGCGCTATAAGTTAAAACTGAAGAGAGGCTCAATCCAATTAGCAGCAGTAAACACCACACCAAGAGGCCTGAGAGCCACCAGCTTTCACACCAGCAAACCTGGGTCTGTACTAAGCAGCTGTATGAAGGCAACCCTGTGTGTGCTTGGCTTTTGGGTGCTACGTTTTTTTACCTTTTGTATTGGTAGCAGTGGAGTTCATGAATAAATGATAAAACTGGCAGACTCAGGGCGTGGCCTTGGCCATTAGTGTGTGCCAGTTACTGTTACCCAGTGCCAAACCTGGCCAAGTGCATTCGGGTTCCTTGGCCCCTTCGCACAGACACAGCACACGAAGGATGTACACGAGTCACTGTCAGCAGCCTGGCTTTGCAGGAGCATAACACAGTAGCTTTATCTCCCAGGGAAGGGAAACACATTGGAAAATACTTCAAGTAGGCGAGCCTGCAACTTGAACTTGCAGAAACTGCCCGAGACAGTGTCTTCACTGAGATCATAATACACATTTCATCATTACAAATAAATCAAGAAGTAGACAGTGCATCAAAGCTCAAAAGAGATTCAGTAGTACAGGAAACAAAACTCAAATACTGTCTATTTGCACTATTTAGCAGCCATCTGTAAACACCACAGGTGCCCTATTAAATTTCAGCAAATTCTTCATGACTTAATACTATAGATATTTTGATTGTGCTTCCTTATTAGTGACTTTGGTACACTCCCTTCATGTCTCTAATTAGGACTTTGCAACAAGAATGGACACTGTGTTTCTCTGACATACAACTAGAGGAGACATCTCTTAAACTCTGGAATGTTAAGAGAAAGACCATACCCAAAAGCTTTCCTAGGTTTCACATACAGTTCTGAGCAACAAGACCCTGACAACAGAATCAGTGCCATATGGATTAAATTAGGTATACAGTGCAGACAACTAGTAAAGCTAATAACCCAAATATTTTCTTATTGAATCCTGTCAATTTAATTTAAGGTGCTCTCTAATAATCTCAGATATGAATGATAAGCTTGAAGGAATCAACCTTGCAGGAAGATATGGCCTGAACAGTCAACTCCTCTTTACCACCTTTCACAGCTACCTAGAGTTAAGGCCACTCTACTCATACTGCATGCATTTACAATAACCAGAGTTCCTCCATATCACCCAGCATCATTCCATAGCTCTGACAAAGAGCAACTTCACTTCAGCTGTAGCAAAAGGTGACATAGGGATTTGTGCTAAGTTTGCAGAGGGCATACATAAGATAAAAATGCATCTATTTGATTCTTAACAATTACTTCCTGTGGGTGCAAGTTGTGTGGCAAGTAATGAGCCACAGACATCTCCCAAGCATCCACAAAGTGCACAGCAATTCCTGAGAACATTTTCCTCATGACAGAATCAAGCTGAAAAGAATACCAATCACTGTTAAAGAGGCTCACTTCTGGCCCAAGCTCCTGAACATTAGCGGTTCTGATGACGATTAAAGTCTCGGGGCTGCGATCCAGCAGCTGAATAACTGCTCTCCGAATGTTCCTCAGCCGCCGGATATACACTTCCACAGGGAAGGTGCTGAAGTGGGACCATATGGTTATGGCTATCACGGTGTTCCTGCCCCCCACGATGCCGTTCAGCTCGTTGGCGATGTAGCGCAGTTCACTGCTGAAGACTGTGGAGAAGCGAATGGGTGGCCCGTGGCAGCGGAACTTCAGCAGGATGTTGTGCTTCAGGTCCACAGACATGAAAGGGCCCACGTTCTTAGGACTCCTCAGGTTAAATTCCACGAGATCTGAAAACCCGAGAGCGAGCATTAGCGACAGACGGCGTAAGAGGTCAAAACTATCAGCAAGACGCTGGGACCACAGGGCAAAATAGCGGCAGACAAGGAAATCTGAACACAGTTCTAAGAACTCCAGAATTAAACAGATGATAAGCATAACTTTTTAGAGTGGAGTTTATGGGTGTTAAAGTTGTATGCAAGGCAAGACACCTGGACTCCACAAGGTTGTCAATGCCTTTTTCAAGTTTCCTGAACTATTTTGTTCTCTCTAGTAAAAAAGAAATTCTCCAGATAGTCATTGTTGCCCTATGAATCCCGTGTTCACAAGAACCCTACTAGCAACTTTAGGACTCCATTAAATTTAATGTGACCTAAACTTATAGGCATTAAGGAGTCCCAAAGTCTGTGTTCCAGTGCAACTGCTTTATGGGAAAGGGATGAGGGAGGGAGGAATTTCTAAATGGCTAATGAAATTCTGTTATTTAAGTTAAAATAAGGGAAACAACCAAAACCTATGAACATTAAAAGAAGTCCTTTGCTACTTCATTCCAAAATCACTGCTAGGACTGTGACGTTGCAAGGCCTTAACAGAAGCACCCTAAGTCACTTCTGCTGTGGCTCCTGGCCAACTTAACTCACAGCCACAACAGTGGTCCCTTTACAAGGACAACTTCACTGATACCTTGTGGCCACATTTCCAAGGCCTACATGTTTCCAGTGTCTGCTCAAACATTTGAATAACTGTCTGCCAGGACTTCTGATGAGGTTTTGTCTTCCCTCTTCCTTTGTTTTGCCAGTGTCACTGTCACTCAGTAAGATCAGCTCTGTGTCTGAGATATGAGAAATAAAGCTTTGCAAAGGTCTTTAAAGACAAAACCAAATTAAAAAAAAGGTACCTGGAACAAATGCTGTCAGATATTCAAACCACTGCCTTATTGTAGAGTCTCCAAACAAGTGGATTACTTTTCCTTGTAAGCACTCAGTTATATCATCTGATTTGTTAAAATTATGGATCCAGTGTGTTCTGGACCTCCACTGGTCTTCATAATAATAACCAGAAGGGGAAGCTGTGGGATCTTCAGCTCTGTTCATAGCGATTACATCTGGAAAAGAAAGATTCTTTGAAATTAACAACAAAACCAGACTCCATAATCCTCATGGACATGTAGTCAGTGATGAATGAACATCTTCCCTAGTTTAAAGCAAAAAGAATGTGCTGGGTTTGACTGGGATAGAGTTAATTATTACAGTAGCTAATATGTGGCTGTGTTTTGGATTTGTGCTGGAAGCAGTGTTGATAATGCAGGGATTCCATCACTGCTGAGCAGTGCTTACACACAGCCAGGGCCTTTTCTGCTTCCTGTACCACCCCTCCAGTGAGTGGGCTGGGGGTGCACAGGAAAGTGGGAGGGGACAGAGCCAGGACAGCGGAATCCAGCTGACCAAAGTGACATTCCAGGCCACATGGCATCACGCTCTAATATAAACCTGGATAAAGAAGGAGGAAGGGGGAGGAGGATGTTTGAAGTGATGGCAATTTTCTTCCCCATGATGGAGCCTGGGGATGTCTGAACACTTTCCTGCCCATGGGAAGTGGTGAATGAATTCCTTGTTTTGCTTTGCTTGTGTGTGCAGCTTTTGCTTTCCCTATTACAACATCGTTATCTCAACCCAGAAGTCTTCTCATTTTTATGCTTTTGACTCTCTCCCCTATTCCACCAGGGGGGTGAGTGAGCAGCTGGGTGCTCCTTGGCTGCCGGCCAAGGAGCACATGATGACCACACAGTGGTCGTGTGCATCACACTTCTGATGCATCACACTTCTGTAAGCCCAGGTATTTCACCCCATACTTCTGCAGCAAAACCTGCAACTGCTGGCAGAGTAGTTTGAACAATCATAGTTTAACTTGGTTTAAGTTAAATAGTATCTCTGACATTACTGTAAAAAAACCCCAAACCAAACCAAACCAAAACAAAAAGAAAACCTAAAAGTAAGTATCTGGCATGTTTCACACTGCGACAGAAGTGCTCTATCGTGGGTGCTTGCATAAGGCAGGGAGGAGCAGAGGCAGAAGGACGAGCAGAGCATCTTCCCTCGTCCCCGCCGTGTGGCAGCGCGCGGCTGCCCTCTGGTGCCCTGCCTGCACACGGCAGCTCCGCTCAGCGCAGGACACCCACCGAGGGGACAACCTGCTACCACTCAAAAAAAACCCCCCCCAAAAACCCCCAAACAAACCCACCCACCAAAAACCCCTCCAAAAAATCTCTGCCTACGGAATATGGAATAACATATATCGCCACAGTCCTCCTCTATCACCACTAATGCCCTTTGAATATGTTAATCATGAGAGTCTCTAATTCCATGGATTTTGGACTTTCTCGCTGCTATCTAGCTCCCTCACCCTTCACTGCCTGCGACAGGCAGCCCCCTGAGGAGCCACTACACACCAGGGAAGTTCTATTCTGTAGGACGCCTGTGTGATACCTTGCAAGCAAAGGCCAGAGATTACAGGAAGGGAGCTGCAACCTCATGGTTATGTAAATCACATATTGCCATATTTCTCTTGGCAACCAGTGTGATATCGGTACATCAGACTTCTGTGAGGTCATTTCAGGTTTCTCCTTTGCCACTCATGTATTCAAATACTTAAACTGAACAAGCAGGGACCTCTTCCCTGGCACAAACACCAGCTGCACGGAGCAGACACATCCAGCTACATTTAAGTTTAAATGTTTAAATGATTTAATGTTTAAACACTTTTACCCATCTTGGTGTGGAGATTATCTGTTAAGAACAGTCCTTGCCCTGTTACAACTTAGAGCTGTTTGATAAAGCACACATTGTTTGCCATGGCCAAAATCATGCCAGGGACCATTCTAACTATGTATAGAGTACAAGCACTGGAGGTCCAGGGCCTAAAAGCATCCCCTGGTAGATGCTCCATTATAACATCATGCATAAGCATCTTTAAACATCCATTCCTTACAAGCATTTTTTTGCCACTCCCTTTCTGTACAATATTCTCTGCATGTTGTATTAGTAGATGTTAACCTGAGAGCTTAGAAGTTGTTAACATCCTTCGACCTCACAGGGACACTGTAAAAAGCAAACTACTATTACGTTTGCATAACACAAGTAATATAATCATGAGTGCCACAGAAAAGAGCCTTCAGAATGTTTTATCTTTGGATGTTACTTTAAATTAGACAACAGGGACAATGAAGGAAGAGGAACAAAAACCCAACCAGCAATGTGGACTCATCCAATATTTGTGAAACAGGAATCCTACAGAGAAAGGAAAAAAAGCCTTCATATGGTCATGTAATAAAAGACCAATTCATAATGTGATTTCACAACTTGAGTTTGTTTGATTCTAAGTTTTGATGGAAAAGTATTTCCATTTTTACCTTTAAAGTGGATTTTTCTGCTACACATATACATATAAAAATGGTGCTAGAACAACTTTTTGGTGCCTCACAGTAAATCAGCATTTCAAATCTGTGCATAGTATCATATCACTTTTGATCCAGAATTCAGAAAGCCATTACTTTGGGATTTTATAGAAGAGAGTAAAAGTTCCAACCTGAAGTTATAAACTAAGGATAGAAATAAAAACTTGTATTTCAGAAAAATAAAATTTTAAAAAACTTGATCTACATTTACCCCCAAACAAAAAAACACGGACAAAAAGAAGAACAATGAATTTGTGTGTGCCAGCAATTCTAACAAATCCATACATCCACAATCATTATACTAACATATTAAGTTTATTTATTCAGAGACTGCTGATCCTGGAAGGAATTTCCCTGAGGAAATGTGCTACTCTTATCTACCCTTTCTAACCCAACATTAATCCTTGGGAAACGTAGGCAGGCTTTGATCATTCATAGCTCCTGGAAGAAGGGTGACATAATCAAATCTCAAATTTGCAGCAGTTTCTGTGAGGAAATACACAAGATTAAAAAGGCAATAAAAACACATCATCTAAAGGGTCTAGAGAAAGAAAAGGGACAGAGGGGAAATGTTGCTAGCCTAGTAGCAGCACTCTATTTTTTTAGTGAACAGTAAAACTAAAAGCAAGAAATGCTGTAGGCTGCTCTCTGTTCAGACTTTATTGCACAGGTCAGGAACTCTACCATAAAAGCCTCTTAAAACCTTATGAAAAAAAAGTCTAAAAAGCTCCCAATCAAGAAATAATTCTCTGTGTATCACATTTTACACAGGCATAAAAAGTTTGCACATGGATATGAACGAGATACAACCTCTAAGTTTAATTTAGTACAGACTGTCTTCGTTCTGTTTTTAGACAGGGCACAGAACAATTAGGCTCTGGTCCACAACTGCAGGTTCTGTCATCCTGTGGTAACACAAAGGATAGTAATACTTAAATGCAAGATATCAAAATTTGTTCCACAAAGTTCTTAACAAAGAAAGAAAGAAATTAAGAAACACCCCACAGCTGTTTTTGCTTGTTTGAGAGTTTGGTAAGCAGTTACCCTAAGACATTTTACAGCTGTGAGTAAATGCTAGGGGGGAAAAAAAGACAGTTTTGGCAAGAGAACAATATTTTCTCTTTTTTTTTTTTTTTAAATCTCATTTGTGTATGTAATTTTGGAAAAAAAATCGTTATTAGTACTGAACTTATATTACAGTTAACAACCAAAAGCCTTCATCTTTTCAATATAAATATGAAATTAATTTCTATTTCATGCTACAAAAACAAACAAATCAATTATTACCTCATGCCTGTTGCTCTTTTTTATAAATTTAATTATGAATTAAAAACAAGAATCTTATGAAGTTCACTTTACCTGTAAATGCCTTGGGCTTTACAGTGACTGAATCAGGTCCACTGGAGAGTATCGGCCTTTTGATGTTCACATGACTTGAACAAAACATAAACATAATAATATTTGTAAAAATTACTGTAAAATTTGAAGGTGATATTAATCTTGTTTTTCTTAATCCACTTCAAATAAGTACGTAGTATTCACACAAAGAATTTTTTACTCCAAGTTTACTCTACTTCCTATAACTGAATTCATTCTGCATTAATTTCCTCAAGATCACCATCACTATTCTGAATCCGAATTCAAAATTTCACAGCACTAAGACCCCAATCCTGTGCACACTTTTGCTGACACAAATCCCAGTAAAGCTATCAGAAGCCTGCGAGAAGCTCTGGAGGATTTTCCACAAAGATGGGAACTTCCCAGCTTGCAGAGTGTGGGGATACAAACCACTGAAAGGGTACAGTGCTGCAGCAGCTCCCAGCTCTGACAGACCCCTACAGGTGCCTATCACAGCAAATACCTCTGTTGAGGTGGTTGCTGCTTCCAACCCCTGCGATCCGCAGCACAGAGCGGAGCTGGCAGCAGTGCAGCCCCACCACCACCTGCAGTTCTGCCTCCAGACTGGGCCACTGGTGGTGTGTCCTCTGGGCACCAGACGATGCCCAACCAACTTCAGAGACCTCCAGCAATAAGGTCTTCCACTAGTACAGCAGTTTGCTAAGCACAGAAACAAAGGTCATCCCCCTAAACACCAACAAATCTCAGAAGGACTCGTTTATGGACACCAGTGAATTCTGATCACTTTGTGTTGGTCACACTGTACAGCTGTGACAGATGCAGAGATTTAATACTAAGCTTTTGTTCTGTCTTTTGCTACTGTTCTGAAGAGAATCCTTGTCTAATGTTTTTCTCCATTTAAGAAATAAATTATTTGGAATTTCTATAAGCCACTCAGTCAAGGATCTCAGAGCTGCATGAAACAAACAAACAAAAACAAAACAAAAAGCCAAACAAACAACCCCTCCCCAGCCAAAAAAAGCAAAACCTTTCCCATTCCCATTTGGAAACATCACCAATAAATATAAGCCAGATTTTACAGGTGAGCTGCCAGAGGCACAGAAAGTCAGAAGACCCACTTACAAACTTGATAAGGAAGAGCCAAAAAAAATTCCACTGATACTTACTTTTTGTTTCTAGTCTTGGTTTCAAACATTCACACAATACTTTCCTAATTACAGTATTGGGAACTGCTACTCTAAAATCTTTCCCAATGTAAGCCTCAACTGAACATACTGCCAAAAGCCTTTCCTTCAACACTTTTGTTGGAGAGCAAGGCAGCAGCCTGCAACTACAACTCTGACACTACAGAGTGGTTACCTTTGTCTAAATTCAGATGTCTAATTTCATACAGAAGCAGTTCTGTCACATCTACCCAGGTACTAAGAGATGGTTTGGGTTTTTTTAAATGCTGAAGAAAAAGATGACTGATTTAGTTTGACACTTGAAATAACATGCACAGATCATTTGCACTTCCACATTCCTCAGATTTGACAGTCAAGTCTGGACTCTTTTTAAGTAGTTCCGATTTGGTCAAAAAGGCATCTCAAAACATTGTTATTGATACTGCAAATGTAGCTGTGGAAACAAAAAATAAGGAAACAGTCCCCTAAACCACCACACAATTCAGACAGTATGCTCTTGTGAAATTCAGGAGGTGCAGCAAAGTTGAATTCAAAGCACAGAGAACTACCTACTAAGTTTCTGTAGTTTAAGATTGCTGTCTAAGATTCTTGTACAGCTGAATGGAGGAGAACAGACTATTCAACAACTCACATCCTCCTCCTGCAGATACACTCTTCCTCCAAGGTCATGTGTCATAATAACCAATAAGCCAAATTTGTATTAAAAAACCCAAACAAAACAACTTGACTGAGTATATATATAAATTCAACAACACACATACCTTTGGAAAAAGAGGCTTTCCTCTTTCGTCAGAAGACCTTTTAGATATCCACCTTTGGCATGGCTGATTCGGCTGGCACAGGACAGTTTTCGAGGCTTATAACAGAACCATGGCTCACCCGTGTAGGGATCTGTGAAGTTACACACTGGGAGATCTCCAGGCAAGCAAACGTTGCACTCGGTGGTTTCTGAGTACCTCCCAGACTTGAACGAGCTTTTGAAATAGACCCTGTCCGGCCTTTCCTCTCGTAAACGCAGGAGGACTTGGATGGCTTCACTCGGATGGACAAGTGACACAGAAACTTTGACCTCTCCTGGCCAAAGCAAGGTAAAGAAGACTTTGTAAAGGCCATTATGGCAATCTACAATCCTTCCTGTTGCTCCAGCTTTCAGCAGAGGAGAGTGAATTCGCGCCTGTAAGTAGTCTCCGCCATACCGCTTGGGCTTTCCTTGGAAATCCTTCATACGAACGAGGACCTCCAACTCATCACCCACTTTGAAGAACCTGCTGGGTTTCACAATCACAAAGTCACTACGTGTGGGATCAGTGCTCTGTGCAAAGGCAATTTTGTTATCGGGGGGTTTTGGCCACTGTATTGCAGCAAGCAACGTTTCCTGCTCCTCTTGTTCTCTTTTGGACAAAGTCTGCTGCGTGTAACCGCAGTAAGGCTTCCTGGTAGTTTTGTTTGTCTGTGACAGAGAATGCTGGACATTGTTTTCCGTTATCCAATTTGATCCTGAAACTGTGTCATCATCCAGGTTCTGGGGAGGAAAAAGATCACCTGAAACCGTGCTATGAAATGAAACATTGTGAATAATGGATAATGAAATGATCCCAAGAACTGGGCTTTCCTCTGTAGAGCTTTGAAGCTGACCAAATGAAGCAACTTCACCAGAAGACTCGAATCTATTACTCTGACCATGGGATTTCCAAGGAAACAGGTGGGCAACACCTGTTTTGTTACCCCGTTTTGGCAGAGAAGCTTTCATATAGATCATATCCAATATTTTCTATGGCAGTATTCTAGCTACCGGTATATTCCGTAAACATCAGCAATGCGAATAAAAATTAAAAAGGGTTGAAAGATTAAGTAGCAAATTGTAGCTCATGTTTTATTTTCTTCTGTAGTAACATTTTAGTCTTAGAGCACCATGAGGTCTAATAGGTGCCCAATGTAATGCAAGGAAATAGGGCTTCTTTGAGACACTACACTGCAGATGATGCAGATGCACCCCCTGCACACTCCCTGCCTTCTAGAGAAGTCTGCTGCGTGTAGCAGCTGCAGTCATTTATCTGGTCACACTCACATTGCTTCTTATCTAATTATCTGAAATGTGTCTTTCCCTGTAACGTACAGATTGGAAGAAATAAAAGAATAAAAACCCAGATGCTTCAGGGACAATGAATTCATGAGCCAGTTGCCAAGTACAATAGCGTAGAACAAGCTAGGACTGAACAAGCAAAAAAATTATTGGTTTGTTTATTTATAAGATTGTAAAAATCTATATACAGCTCCTTCTAGAACCAAATGAAACAGCAGAGTATCCCCTAATTCACACAAGAGTTTAAAAATTAAAATAGTTAAATACAATGCTAGACTAAGAGAGGAGGCTTCTGCTGCAACTTGACATCAGTGTCCAAAACTGTATTTTCATGCAAATGACTGCAGAGATACCATCGTCTTCATGATATCACATGATTTCGCAGGTTTGCACTAGGAAAATTTTAAAAATAGCACAGCCTAAGCCTCCAGAGCTACCCTTGAGATTTCTAATCAGCAACTCCAAATTTACCCTTCAAATACACATAAAATCAGCAGTTAATGAGTAATTAATTATCAGGTATATATAGCAGAACTTATCCATACTTCTATTTCATAAAGAATGAAAATAGTTTTTCAAGCAAAGATTACAATTATATAGTGCATCATTCGCATGGCATCAGAGGATAAAGACTGCTAAAAAAGTCAAACTATGTCATTTGAAATCTATTAAAATATCATTGTACTCACCAATACCCCAGTGTGTCCCATTTAATTCCTCCATAACTAACTGCCCAGTAATGTACTAAAATTCACAGCACTTATATTAAAGCCTTATTCATTGTTATAAACCTTTCTTAGTCCACTGAAATATCACCAGTGTAAAAAAATCATTAAGAACATAACTGAGATTCAACACAGTTTTTTAGAAGAGCGTAAACCTAACAAACAGTAGAAATGTACAGGCTTTTGAAGTCTGTGATATACGTTGGTTTTGATCAGCTCAAGAGTAAGAGGATGAGCACATTAGGATGTAGGATGGATACATAAAATCTTCTTTGTATGATACCCATGTTAACAATAAAACCTGAAACCTGAAATGTAGACTGCTACATGGTAACATCACAATAGAAGTTTTTGCTTCTATTTTGCATTTCCATCCAGGATTTAATAAATTTGCCCTGAAGGCCATCTGAGACAATTCGTAATTATTTACATTTTCCATCACAGCAAGCAAAGCTGCAGATGTATTGCTGCATGTTACTTTCATTAGCCCAGTAAATTTCAGCCAAAGCTGAGAGTGAATCTCAGGCATGGTTCTACTTTAAATCTTGTCTACATGCATTCTTGAATTAAGCCAAGTGTCTATTTTTGGATACCTTCACAACTTCTTCCCTTCACTTGCTTGTGCATATCTATAACACAGAAAATACTGCATGGAAATATTTTTAAAAGGTAGCTATCTATTTTAATGCATCCAATAAGCTGGTAACAATGTATCGGTCAGCAAAAATATTTAAGCGTTTTTCTAAAGGAGGGGTGGAGGGGAGAATATGTGTGTCTGATTAATTGTTGTTTTCAGGGTAAGTTCTCAAGAGAAAATTTCTATAGTTCAGCTGATTCTTCAGTGGTTGTTACTTCGGGTCAAGGGGCATGGGAAAAAATCCTTTCAAATTAAGAAGAGAGATGGCTAAGACAGCCTTAAAAGCAGACATATCCCTATTTTTAATCTTCTATAAATTTCTTCAGGGTTTTTAACCCAGTCTTTCTGTCAGAGTTGTAGAAGATGCCATTTATGGCCTAGCTAGGCTTTCTGAAGTCTTTCCAGGGGCATACCTATATTTTTCAGTGGAAAAGGGTGCAGAGAAAAGCAAGCCAACAAACTCATTCAGAAAACAGAACATAGTTCAATGTCTCCAAATCAGTCCCTCTGCACAGCAAAGCACAAGGCCAAAGCTGTTCACTTGCAGCTGAGGCCAAGGACACTTCAGCATCTCCAGATTATGACCCATTAGGCAGAACAGATCACACCACAAATATTTCCTCAGTCTATCTTCAAAAGGGGTGAGGGTGAATCTCCATGAAAGTAAAAGCAGAGCTGCTTCAACTTCATGAAGAAGCCATTCTTTCTCCAGCATTCTTGTTCATCTTTACAGTCCTCTCTCAAGCACAACCAGGACCATGCATCATTGCAGAGATTCTCTTTGCCAATAAAGGCAGGGAAAGCTTCACAGTCAATTAATATACTGAGAATCCTTGACTGACATAGAAAAGCTTTCCAAACCATCTTTCTCTCTTCAGTGTTTCCCAGGCTAAACTCCAAACAAGTGCTCCAGTTCTCCTGCCCCTATGGATACATAAGGGCTGCCCTGAGGCAGATAATTAGCTGACTTTGCCCCCACTCCATTTCCTACTTCCTCTTTCATTAGCATTTCCAAATCTCTCTGGCTCCTCCATGGTATGTTGGCACACTGAGACTGTGCAGAACTGTGGGCTCTCCACTGTACCTAGTAGCCAAAACTAAATAAAATTCCTTTAAAAAAAAAACCCCAAAACAGATAAAGCACATTTCTCAAGATTTCTCAAGAGTACTCTTTCTTTATGACACAGATACTTTTAGCTTTTATTATAGTCTCCATGATAAATAACACTTGCCCTGCTTTGCTTATTTCCTTATATACTCCATTCAAGGTGTCATGTATTTTAAGTGCAATTTCCAAGGGACTTTGTTTGTTGGTTTGTTGGGTTTGTTTGAGGTTTTTAGTTTGTGTGGGAGGCATTTGTTTGATTTTGTTTTGTTTTGTTGAGGGTTTTGTTATTGTTATTTTTACTTTCTGAGTTTTGAAGCTAACCAGAACCCAAATCTGACCACAAAGTACTTTAATGGATGCCTGCCAAGTAACACAGGTAGGACAAAACAGATTACATGTCAATTAAGCACAAACAAATATACAAGCGGTTCCTGGCATTACAGATGTCAAAACAAGGGGGGAGCTAATGGGAGTTTCAGCTTAACTACTCAGCTTTTGGCATTCTCACTGCCAAATAAGCAAAAATGAGATAAAACATATAGATCAATAGAGACAATAATGCTCTCAAAAATATTCTAGAATGATCCCAGAGTACTTGATTAGATCTGCAATGAACACTTCAGTTAAACACCATAATGTAGGTGGTGTCATTGAATGAATTGTTTAAAGTAACCTTAAAACACTCATTTACAACAGGTGGCCAATGAAAATGCTGAGTATTTCAACTGCTGCTGAAAATGTGGAACTCCATCTCAAAGCCCAAGATCTTCCACCAACTGTAACTCCTGGCTTGGAGTTCAGAACAGTTGCTGCAAACCTGCAAAAGTCACTATCATTAGAGCAGGAAACATCACAAGAGATTCCCAGCCGACAGGCATGGTGGAGGAAAAAGACTTCCAGTTTGACCAATAAAAACTCTCAATTTATGCAGCAGACAGCATTTGAAACTGAACAAATTCCAATTACTGAAAGGTCAGTCATCTTATTCTCAGTAATTTTACTCCCAAGGTACTCTATTTGTAGTCTATGACAGACATGAAATCAGCTCACTGTCATTACCATCTCACAGCACTGAGTGGGTGCTAAACTACATTAAGTGTCAAAGCCAATCCTAAAAAGCCATCACCTAACAGAGAAATGTTCCAGCAACACTCTGAATAAGATGAAGTTATCTTTTGTAGGCACCTGCAATTTAGCAGTAAGAAAAAAAAGACTTTGTTACATAGTTCTTTTGTTCAGTTTCAGCTGTTTGATTTCATACACCATTACTTCATTCTGGCAAGAAACTTCCCTTCTCCCCATACACTCTTTTCTAAGTTCCTTTTAAAAAAACAGTGCTCACAACCAGTCCTGAAATGGTTCTTTCACTCTAAAGGTAATTGGTACAAATTCACAAATTCTCCTGTATCCTAAAGGCATGATGTTTGGCAACATCCTGATACTTGACCAAAAAAAATTATTGAACATTTTACCTATGTTCACAGAAAAAAATTAAGTTAAAATAAAAATACATTTCTTTCAGTACTATAATACAGTGACATGAAGGGAGTAGTGGACAGTTTGGTTCTTTTTCAATACAGAGTAAGAAAAGTAAAATTCTGACATGAGGATTATTGAGAGGGTGTCATTAGTAGCTTAAGAATTTAAGAGGAAAGATTCCAACATGAAAAAGCATAAAATCCTACAGGAAAAAAAGTAGGAAGGATAGCTAGGGAGGGGGGATAGCTGACAACTGCCTTAGATCTTAAGCTTTAGCCAGTTAGGCTAGATGATTTGGGGATGAGAAGCATGTCTGATGCATTTACAAACATGCTTTCAACAGCAGTCAACAAAAAGCCCACCTTCCAGAGCCCAAACAGATTAGGGTACAGATATTCTGTGAAAGCTTTCTAAGGCTTTTTCTGGTTTTGATCTCTGACTGAAAAGAATCAGCACAGACACCTATGGTAGACTGCCTAGAAAATTATGCCAAGACAGAGACAAATACCAGAGCATGTCCATTCAGAAAAGTCAAGACAACAGAAGGGGTCAGAGTGGCATGTTGTGGTGTAAAGATTTACCAGCAACACAACACTTAACCAAGTTTGGAAGAGCAGGTAAGTAAAAGGTCAACAAAGCCATGAAGATACTATCATGAACAATGGCAAGAAAAAGCACAAAGCAAAGCTGCATTTTCCATTTCATTCTCAAAGCACTGCCAGAGCCCTCTTCTCTAAGAAACGTAATTTAAAAAAAAAAAAGTCTAGGTTTCGAAATATCAACACTCCTCATACAACATTCTAGGTCATAAAAAAACCCAAAACCACAGAAAGAGAAAACAAAAGCTACTTTATATGTTACACAAAAAGATCATGTTAACTTGAGCAAAAGGTCCATCAAACACAGTTTTTTGACGGCCAATAGTTTCCAACAGCGGGTGTGTAGGAAAAGAATACAGACCAAATATTTCCTCCTAAAGACTTAATGCAGTTTCTAGCCCTTTATGGCTTAGAGATTTCTTAAACACAAGGGTGGACATCTTTAAGATCTAGTATCCTCTAATAGACTTTTCTTCTGTGCATTCATCCAGATTCTTTGAATATATGCTTTTAGCAGCTACACAGCCTTACTGCAAGGACTTCTGCTGCTTTGCTGCAATCCATAAGAAGCATCCCTGCTTCCTTTAAAAATCAACATTTGCAGTTTTTATTTAGTGTTTCCAGTTATGTCACTTGTGGGTTGACTTTAACCTGGGTTTAGTAACTCAGTAACTAAGCAGTTTCAAAGTACATCTATAATAACATGCTAAGTAATATGAATAAATATGTAAGTCAGACACAGCAGAGGGAAAAAGGGAAAGGCAAATACAAGTTGCATCAGTAGAGGCTGGAGATCAACTTGCCATCTAACAGCTCTGCAGAACTGGCCATGTCAACAGGACAGCATTGTGGCAATGAATTAATGAGACCATAACCAGTTGATTGAGCAAAGTGATAGTTCCCCTCAACTTGACCATGGTGAAGAAGACTGTGAACTAGAACACTGTGTCTGGTTTTTGGACAACCCATACCAGAGTCAAACTGGAGAGAACAGCTAAGAATCCCTGAGATGATTAGGAAACCGGAGTGACACTAATGGAACCAAACTTTTTTTTATTTCTTTTTAATCTGGAGAAGACCAAAAGGGGATCTAACTGCAGTCTTTCACTACCTAAAGGGGAGTTACAGAGGAACTGAGTGAAAGCACACACTATAAAAGTAAGACGCAACTTCCACCTGCACATGAGATAAACATTCTTCATTGCACCAGAGGTGCAGCACTGCAACAGGCTGCCTAGGCAGGTTGTGAAATGTGACCGTCCTTGAAGACTGTCAAAACTCAACGATACCTTGTGCAGTCCAAGCTAACTCTGACACTGGCCCTTTGAGGAGAGTGTTGACTAAATACCTTCACACATCCCTTCCAGTCGGAATTTTCTCTGTTTCCAAGTTATAGCTAAATGCTGTCAGACACAGTTCTAACCTTACACTCAAAATGGAATAATGTTACTCAAGCGCTCTTGGAGTGGCTTCACTTACCTCTAACTGAAAAAAATTATGGACCAGCACCACAACAGCCAGTACTGCCATAAGCAGGCAGAAGATCTGCAGTCTGAACGAGTCACGCCACATGGTCCATTCATATCTTTCCCTCCCATGTTAGACGCTGCCATGACTTCCATCCACCACAAACATGAATGTCATTTCGTCTCAGTAGTGCACAGGAGAATTCAGTTGACTTCCACTTCATTCCTGCAAGTGCATTTACAAAAACTATATTAAGTCCTCAAAATATTACTGTAAGTCAAGTTTAACACTGAAAGCATACAGATGGTGGAATCTGGCAGCACAATAGAACAGTCAACACGGATTTTTTTTGTGGAACTAATCTGAACAGTACTTACATTACTTAATTTTCTAGGTCATGTCAAAGCAAAACCTTATAAAGGTAGTCTCACCTGTAGCTGATACAAAACAAAGGCAAAAGAAGAGTGCAAGATTTTGTTTTGCCAAACAACAAAACCAAACCAAGTAATAACCACCCAATTTATCCATTAGGCCACACTATCACTATCCAGACATCAGGAGACCAAGACTTCCAGCAGAAACTTGTGAGTTTAGATATCTCCCATTTACCTGTTTACACATTTCAAGAAGTTGTTATTAAAAACTAAGCTCTGAAGCAAGTTTGGATAAGCAAGATAAAAGATGCTTTCTCCAGTTTTCTGCTGGGGGAAAAAATTACTGCAGTGTTACAGAGGAGATATGTAACAGAGTTCAATGCACTAAAATTTAACTCTGCATCATACTACATCTTCTCTGTTTTTTTATCAATCCTTTTACCTCATGTACTCATATGCAGTTCTAATAGTAAAAAAATGAACTTCTGGGAAGAATGTGTTCAGTTTTGGTGGTTTTGGGTGGTTTTTTTAAATAAAATAATAGTATTGTTTTCCATAAAATTTAACTTCTGTAAAATATATTGTTTCTTTGAGGTTGCTTGATAGCTGATCCACTATAAAAATCACAGACTTAAAGCCATTGATAAGGTTCTCACAGCTTAATGCTTGCTCAGTAAGACTCTTATTCCTTTCTCTTTGAGAAGGACAATTTTGAGGCAGTCATTTTGCAAGCAAAAAGGATGCTGTTCCTGCAGAAGCTCTAAACTTGGAACCAGGAAACAGATGGCAAGGAGAGGCAGTCAAAAGACACCAATCTCTTCAAATCTAATATTCTCAAAGCAGTATTACTCATACAACCATCCTCCAAGTGCAACAACATAATCAAATGATTACATTAACTTTGTAAAACTTTCTATAAATAGTATAACTGAGAATTTATACTATTTCTTAAGTCTAAATGAAGAATGCTGTGTCAAAGCAAACATAATAATACATAAAATATCAAAATTAACTAATTAAATTATTCAACAAATGCACATAGGTTAGAAAACTCAAATATATTACTGGTATAACCAGGACAGTCTCAAAATAGACCACACATCAAATTGCTTTACAAGGATTATAGGGATTATAACTTCAAATGCTTTGCTGAGAATTACAGAGATTGTATTTCTGACCAACGAACAAGCATTGAAAGAGCAAGACATCCATTAAAGTGAAAGTATCAAAATGCCACAAAAATGCACCTTTGTTGGAACAGTTCTGCACTAACAGAAAGTACTAAGTTTGCATAAAACAGCAGCTCGGGTTTTAAACAATAACTGATAATAAATATACCTAAATACACGAAAATGCTAATTTAAGGCCATATATGCCCATTTGAGGAACAGAAACAAATATATTAGAGAAAAAGAGAATTTTCAATTGTGTTGCTGAGAATTCTCTTCAAATCACCAAAAAGCACAGGACACTGAAAATCAATACAAAGTCATTTCAGATGCCTAAAAAGGCCACAAAGGTTATTCCCATGTATTTTTGTTCCAAATTTTCCACATTTCTGTAAATGTCACATGCCCTAAAACATTCGATGTACAGGTTTAGAGCTTTCTTTATGTTAAAGGCCTTAACGTACTGACAGTTTCACCATCCTTGACCAGTTGATCTCATTTATTTTCTGTATAAAGGAAGCCAATAAGAACATCAAAAAGCCTTAGGTTCTTACCCTACTCCTGAAATGTTCTCTGAAGTCATCTGTACAAAAGGCCAGACAACCTTGGAAAAAATACATTAAAAAAATAAATATATCTATACACACACAACTATTTTCAAATAAAATTCGTGCCCTGGTAGTTTGTTTGCAGTGACACAAAACAACATGGCCGTTATGACTCTTTATCAGTAAAATTACTTCTTTTTCTACAATAATCCAAGGATTTTTTTAAGTGTTTCATTTTTTTTAAACTTCAATCCTATACCTTTGAATTTTCTCCCATTTATCATTAAGTATTAATTCTCTCAGCTTTGTTCCATGTTATTACAAGTCCCCCTTTTGCCCAAGGTTAAAAACAAAAACCGGTTTAATTACATTTTTATGAAGGGTATTCTAATTGCCTCATGCTCTATTACGGGATTATAGTTCGGGCCTTTTTTCCGAGTTGTCAGTTACTGTCAGGTCTCCATCTCCATAACTCTCTAAGCCAGCAGCATTACGAAAGCATCAGAATTATGAGTATTGGTGCAACCGCTCGCAATGTTGGCACGCGAATCGCGAAGGCAGAGGAGCCCCCACCTCTGGCGATGCCCAGACCGTGCCACTAAGGCGCAGTGTCCCAAGGCTTGGTGCTCGCGTGGCTGCAGGCACGGAAAATCCCATTTGCTGCTGTTTTCCCCTAATTCCTCCCGCCTCGCTCCCCGGAGAGCGGGAGCCGCCAGCCCCTACAACCCGCGGACGTTCCGGGCCAGTGCCGCAGCTCCCTGCGGCGGTGCCGCTCCGGGCAATCACGGCTGCTCCCGCCGCCCCGCGGGGCCGGGACACGCACCCACGAGTGAGGGACGGGGGACGCCAGCAGGAACCACCGCTGCCGGCAATGCGAACCGCACAGCTGCATCTCACTGTCCCAAGCTACTTTACAGGCGCCGCCGGGCGGTCCGCCCGCTGCCCGTATCCCCCGGGGGAGCGGCACAAGGCAGCCCTGCATTTCCCAAGGAGCGGCACAAGGCGGACCCGGCATCCCCCGGGGAGCAGCACAAGGCAGCCCAGTATTTCCCAGGGAGCGGCATGAGGCGGACCCGGCATCCCCCAGGGAGCGGCACGAGGCAGCCCCTGGACCGGCAGGAAGCATTCTTCAAGCCGCCCGCCCGCGATGGAGCGCGGGCAGCGCGCCCCTGCGGGCCGGCGGGCCCGGTGGCGGGGACGGGGCACCCGAGCGGGGCAACCCGCCAACCCCGGCACCCCTCACCCGCCCCAGGCCTCTCCACCGCGGGCCCCTGCCCCTGCCCACCGCCGCCCGCTTTCCCCCGCCGCAGCTTCCCCTCCCGCTCCCCAGGCGAGCCCCGCAGGCCCCCGCGCTGCCGCGCGCTCCCCTCACCGCAGCCGCCGCTCCCCCGGGCCAGGGCGGCGGGCCTCGCCCCCGGCCCGGAGGCTCTCCGTATATCCCCCGGCCCCGCCGCCCCGCCTTCCTCCCCGCCCCGACACGGCGGCGGCGCCTCCTCCCGCCCGCCCGGTAACGGGTCTGTCCCGGCCGCCGGCGCCGCATTCTCTGAGGGAGGGAAATCCCCGCACCGCGCGCGCTCCTTTGGGGACATCCTAGTTGCTGAGGAGGGGCTGGATAATGAGAAGGAAAAAAAACCAAACAAAACACATACAAACCCAACACCAAAAACAAACAACCAACACAAACCCCCAAAAAAAACCCAAAAAGCTTCCTCTCTCCCCCCCCCCCCCCCGAAAAAAGCCCCAAACTAAGTCCCCATAATTTTTGGGCCACAGTGAGTGAAGCCAAAGACAGCAGGCTGTGGAGAGGCTGGCATGCAGATGGCATTATCAGGCCCCCCCAGCCGCACCCCCGGTCAAGAGAGAAGGCTCTGACAGGAACCATCGCAGCTCAAACGCTGCAGAGCCCGGAGGCAAGTGGAGCAGGGAGCTGGAGAGGCGGCGTCTTGGCCAGCGAGGAGGTTGTGAAGAGGGAGAGCTGGCCCACGGACCAGCTGCAGGGGCCGAGCTGGGCACAGGCACAGCACAGCAGAATCGGGCAAACCCAGCTGCATTGAAGGCAGGACTCCAAGACGTGTGAGGAGATGCACGCAGCCAGCGTTGAGTTTAGCACCCTGCACCAGAGCTGGGTAGCACTTTCAGTTTGCTAACAGGACATCTGCAATGGCTTTGCCATCACTTGTAAACACCGCACAAGTCTGGGAATGCCTCTTTCCAAAACAGTCAGCTGCTAGCAGTTGTTTGCACTACAGGGTAAGGGCTCAATCTTATTATTACTAAGGAATATGGGGCTCACTTAAAACCTGGAAGAGAGACAGAGCAGCTGAAATATTCCTGTGAAAAAATACTTTAGCCATTATAAATATAACTCTTGTCTTCTGCCCCCACCCCCATCAACCACAGCTATTTTGAGTAAGTTATCTTCTGTTTTTCTCTTCCTTTCTGCATCTTGCAATGGTGGTTACATGGTAGAGAGAGAAAGCAAAATCTCCACAGGCACAAGCTTTTATTAGTACTATACACTGTGGGTCAGGAATTGAAAGTCATCTGGCTGTGTAAGCAAAACAGTTTAAGACAGTATTTTGAAAAATACTTGGTATTGATTTTTTCCCCCCTCTCAATAGAGATATTTTGGCTACTGCTGAGCAGAGCTTACATAGAGCCAAGGGCTTTTTTGCTTCTCACACCACCCCACCAGCAAGTGGGCTGGGAGCGCACAAGAAGTTGGGAGGGTACTCAGTTCCTAGCACATATAAGGATTTCAGCCCATAAAATTAAAATTAACTATTTCCTTTTGGAAAAAAAAGAAAAAAAAGGGTCCATCCATGAGATATCTCTTTATTTTCCAAATCTAATAAAAGATTTTAATTTCTGATCTTATTACAAATGTGAATCAAAAACAGGAACAAGAGGGACCTTCAACCTGAGCTCCTGTAGTGTTATGGTTACTATCCCTACAATACACAGCATTTAAACTTAGTAGTACAGCTTTAAGGTCTTTACTCCAGGAGAAAACAGTATCGTTCTTCTCTTTTCAGACCTGAAGTTACTTTAGCTATGCCTCTTTCTGTCTTTTAAATAGAATCCTAGGATGGTTTGAGTTGAAAGAGACCTTAAAGATCACCTAGTTCCAACACTCCTGCCCATGGCAGAACACTAGACCAGGTTGCTCAAAGCCCCATCCAGCCTGGCCTTGAACACTTCCAGGGACGGGGCATCCACAACTTCTCTGGGCAACCTGTGCCACCACCTCACCACCCTCACAGTAAATACCTTCACCGAAGAGCAAGAAGAGTCTCACTTAAAAAAATCTCAGCTATTTTTCTTGGTGTAATGAAGTAGGAACACACAGTAAAGAGTTTAAAAATGCCCACTAACATCCACATGTGAAATGAGTTAAAAAAAACAAAGTTATCTTTGTTGGTTTGGGGGTTTTTCATTGTTTATTGTTTTTTGGTTTTTTGTTTTTTACTTTTGGGAGTATTGTGTTGCAGTAAAACATGACTTTCATATATGTCTGAGCTCCTCAACTGTTTGTTAAAACTTTAAAGATGTTTAATTAATCTTCATTTGCTTAAGAACAGAGCAGGTATCTGATGAAACCAAAGGAGTAGGAGGGGGAACAACACTCTTTGCAACTGTGTTTCTCTTGATAAGCCCTTAGTCCTAATTCTCTTTCTAGAAAACTATACAGAACACTGCCACATCTTTTCATTTAAACACAGCAGGGAATTAAGAACACAAAAGAGAGGGCCAGCAGTAGAAACAAAGGACTGCAAATCACGAAGAACAATTTCAGTGAGGTTGGTGAACACATTTCAAGTACCCTACTACACTCTTACGTCCTCAGCAGTCAAAGTGGCCATGGAATGAAACAGTGGCCGTGGAATGCCTCGGCTGTACCAAGTAAAGAATGCTAATGCTTACCTTGTTATCAAATGCTTTCTGTTACTAAACTTCCCATCTCATCTCTAAAAGAGCCCTCCAATCATAAAGACGTGACCACTAGCCATAAGAGTCAAGATCAAGTACACGTACACCTTAACATTTTCAATAAATGTACAAATCATTTATTTAAAATTCAAAACTCAGAGATACAAACAAAATACTTAAGAAACAATAAATCCAGAAATGTAAACACTTATAGAAAATATAGGAACGGTACCAATTTAACCACCCGCCACTCTTCACACAAAACAGCAAGAAGTAGAAAGACAAATCAATGCCCAATTGTTCTTTTTTTCTCAAATTTTAGTTTAGAGGTAGAATACTACTGTCAAAGACTCAACAAAATTTAGTTCAGTAGAATTATGCTACAAGTGAATTTGGCCCATATATTTATAAATGTAATGAAGCCAAAAAAGAAGATTCTTACTGAGAGCTCTTATACAGTAAAATTTGGTGTGGCACTTTCCAAGAGATAAAGCACCTTTCCTGATAAATACTATTCTATGTTTTTGCAAGAAAAGGATCATGTGCTTTTCCCATTACTGACATAAAGAAAACAATTAAAAACAGACAGAAAGTCCCAGCTTTTCAGTAGACATATAGAAAGCAAGTGTTTCTCAGTAACTTAGTCCTAGAAAAATCAATCTGGGGGGGAAAAGTGTAACTATGAAAAAAAGATACTTTGAAAGACTTCATGAATACTTGATGCATACTTATTCAGGTGGCACAGTCCTCAAGGGGGGGAAAAGTTAATACAACAGGGGGGAAAAAAAGTGTCTTTTCCACTATCAGAGGAACTGACCAGTTTTTACATTTTATTGTCATTCAGTCAGTCTCCACTCGATGCTACGATTCTGTCCTCACGGGAAAAAGCGAATCTGTGTGAGACACAATAGAACATCAAGTCCAGTAAAAATTACCCAGGTAGTCTCAAAGGAATGCATATTCCATTTTTGTTCATCAAATGACCTGCTACAAGTAGAAATTAAGATTGGAATTCTTCAGACAATATATACAAATTCATAAAAAACAAGAACAATTTGCAAGCTCAAATACAAACATTATTCAGAAAAAAACAACTTTTTTTTATATACAGACTGGCTGCTAAGTGCATTATTTAAACTGCTGCATGCAAATAGTAGAATCTATGGTTGTTTAAGAAACTTAACTATCAACAATTGTTAGGCTTCTGCAGTTTAGTTTTACAAGGACTTTCTCAAGTATTTGCTGAAGGATATTTGTGGTTTAGAAGCAGCAAAATAAAATTTGCAGTCTTAATGCCTTCTTGCTTTATGGTATAAAACCACTTGTCCCTACCTTCAGAGAAACAGACAAAAGACTAATTTCTGCCACAGACTAGCTGAAAATAGGCTTGCATGGGCCAGCTATCTCATTTGGGGCAAAACTACCTGTGTGGTGCAGTTTAAGTAGTCTGAGCTATATTTAGCTGATTTTTCTGAAGCAAATAAAAGAAGCATTTAAACTGTACTCATGGCAGAGCTGACAACATTGCCTGGCAAATAACCATTAGTTACCTCTCCCATTACAACTGGAGTATCAGCCCAGCACAAAACACAAGGGACAAACTTTTATTGTACAAAGTACATTCTTCTGTTGAACATGAAGCCTTTTCAAAGGAAAATGTTGAAAGAATACAATACTAACACAGGAAGTTTTCAGACATAGGTTTTCATATTTTAGG